GATTTGGGGGTGGTGGGTGGGGAGGGTGGGAGGAGGAATCAGTGTTTTAATCAGATTTTACAAAAACGTTTTAATTCTTTGTACAATTACCATCCTATGTAAAGATGACATTGTGTTCAGTTCAAGATTTTCATGGAATAAAGATCACACAGTACTTGAGGCCATCTTCATGTAACCCTTTCTAGAGAGTTTTGTGTGGGGGTGTCTTGGGGCTGGTGTGTCGTGAAGCCGTGCACCTCTGTTTTGTCTTCCTACCAGTCACTCCAACATGAGGCTCGGGCCACATGAGCCAGATGCACTCTCCCAAACAGGCTGCAGCACCCTTGGTCCCCACCGCCGGTTCTGTTAGTCCTCTGGTCCTGAGGGTATGCTTTGTGCCTCCAGCCTCTCTTCCACTCTAAGGCTATCCTACCCGGCACTGCCACGGAGCCCTGGAGTCCTCCCAGTGACCTTTTCAAGGCAGCCAAGACTTGTTCCCTGGAACCCCCACGAGTTCTCATATGGGCCTCTCTCCCCCTCAGAGCCAGCATCCCTCTTGTCCGGTGGCAAAAACAGTGCTTCCCCAAGTGCACGAGATGACAGGCCAACCCAACCCTCTTCCCATGACACAGTGTCTTCTGGTCAGGATTTACCCACTGCCCTCTTCCCCCAGTTACACACACACACACACACACACACACACACACACACACCCCTCTCCAGAAGCATGCCCAGTGTATGGACAACTGTCCCCAGCCTCCCTCGACATGCAGTTTCTGTTCATGGAATTGATGCTGGGAGAGGATCCTGTCTGGGAGGAACACCCAAGCCTCTTCCACTTTGGTGGCTACTCAGCACTGAGCTTTCCCCCAGCACGTGCAGGGTCCCTTTGGTTCTGGTCCCTAGCATCTTCAGTACAATGCTGCCCCCATCCCCTACCATGTAGCTGCCAGGACCTATGGCCTTGATCCTGCAATCGCCTAAACTGTCCCTTTGTATCACCCACAACAGTATCCTTTTCCCCGGGTGTCCTGTTGTGACCCATATTCCTGAGCCCTGTCTCCTGAAATTCCTAGTGTCCCAGTTTGGGGCTGGGCCTACAATTCTCATGTCCCAGGTGTCCCAATTGCTGCCATTTGTATGAGGATATGTGTCTAGCTGCTGAGGTCTGTGTCACTGTCTTGTCTCTCGCATGGAGTGGTGAACTCTTGCAAGGCATCAGATGGCTTATCCCTTTGGGTGGCACATGACACCCTGAGGCCATGCACCTCACAGAACCTTAGCATGGCCCTTCGTGAAACCAGCTATGAGGAGAGTTAGCCCTGCTTTGGACAAAGCCTATGTCTTCTGACCTTAGCAGCAAGAGCCAGCATCCTGGCAGGGAGCCAGGGGATGCAAGGCAGAGGAGACATGAGTCCAAAAGGCGCTGTGGGTTCCAATTTACCACCTGGTGGTTAGCAACTTCATCATTTCCCAGCCCATGAGCACCGGCCTGGCCTCTCTCCCTCTCTCTCTCTCTCTGGGATTTGCACATCGGTGGAGTTTGGCAAGGGGCATTCAGCTGACTAGTTCCTTAGAGTGGATGGGGGGAGCATGCTGGCTCTTAGCGCACTCCTCACAGATGTGTCCATACAGTGGCGGCAACAAGCTTTTGGCCTCTGAGGAACCAGGGCACATACTGCCTTCTCCCTGCAGCACGTCCACTGCGTACCAGCAGCTTTTCTGAGGCCACTCTGCCGACAGGAAGGAGAAGCTGGCCATGGCATTGAGCATCTCCCTGTGTGCTCCTGGTGGTCCCTGGGAGGTTCGCTGGCTGGCCTGCCTTCCCTCCCTCCCTCCCCTGAAGTACTCACACGGTGGCCTTCCCACGTGTCCGCCCTCTCCTCACCTGTCCCATGGCTCTGTGGCCAGACTTTGGCCCAAGCCTGCACCACATCTCTCACCCTAACTCAGCCTGTTTGCTGCCTCCTGGGGGGACGGGAAGGAGTGCACCTCAGTTGTTGGAGGCAGCTGTGCGGCTCCTTTACAGCTGTGTGTTCCAGGGCAAGTGCCTTGACTTCTGAGCCTCACTTTGCTCATCTGTCAAATGGTTATGATCATTTCAAACACCATAGTTGTTCCAAGACAATGGGTTAGGGTGCAGACACTCAGATTGCCTTAGTGACCTGTCACCAGAAAGTAGGGGGAGCTGTTGGGCAAGAGGTCTACGTAGCTCAACCCCCAGTTCCCCGGGGTTATTCTTCAATGGAGTCAGGGGTCAGGAGTTGGGCAGGGAGGCCTTTCGGGCATGGTCCCAGCTAAGAAAAGTGGCAGGCAAATGGGTAGGTGACACTCCACATTGTCTTTTTCCCATAACGGACTCTCATACCAGACAATCCAGCCACCCTGTCTCACCGTCACTGGTCCTTCTGAACTCACCCTGTTTTCTCCTGGTTCTGCATCCAAGGCAGCCTGGTCTTCTCCCCTAGACCTCACTACCTTCTCTTTTCCTTCACAGAGATGGCTCCGAAGTCAAAAAAGAAGGGGCACCCTGGGAGGGAGCAGAAGAAGGTACGTGATCATAGAGGTGTCTTCCCTTAGGGAAGTGGTGGTCACCTGCCTCTCTGGGCCCCGGGGGGACCCTGGGGCTGGCCCGGGGGTTTCTGCCTGCCTGACATCAGCCTCTGTCTGTCTGTCTGTCTGCAGCATCATCACCACCATCACCAGCAGCTGCAGCAGGCCCCAGGCCCTGGGCCCCAGCAGCCCCCGCCATACAGCAGACTGCCCCCACGATGAAGTCCTCGCCCCCGCCCTTCATCGCCGCCCAGGTGCCCGTCCTGGAGCCCCAGCTCCCAGGCAGCGTCTTCGACCCCATCGGCCACTTCACCCAACCCATCCTGCACCTGCCGCAGCCCGAGCTGCCCCCTCACCTCCCCCAGCCACCCGAGCACAGCACTCCGCCTCATCTCAACCAGCACTCAGTGGTCTCTCCTCCAGGTGAGCTGTGGCCATAGCCGCCCAGGTTCAGGGAGGCCCCTTCCCACCCTGGTCTCACCATTCTGCCGCTGGGCACTCGGGGCAAACTTCGGAACCCATCTCAGCTTCAGTTGTCTCGAAGGGGATGTCAGAAGCTCCTCAGGGCCATCGTGGAAATTATACAAGATACCCCAGGATAGCCTTTGCAGAAAGTTAGTGCTTTGATACAGAAGATAATGAGTCAGTTGTGCTGGGTCAGGCATTGTCAGGTGAAAAAAGATGTGACCTCTCTGTAACTCTCAGTTACAAATGGGGGGACACACACTCATCCCAGTTAGGAGGGTCAGATTGCGGCATTCAGGACATACCTGCTTTGAGACTTGAAGACAGGGACTAGCTGGAAGAAGGGAGGGAGGTGGGAGGCACAGGCCACCTGACAGGACAGTACTGGTGAGGGCTTTATTCTGGAGATGGTGAGAACCTGAGGAGGGTGGGGAGAGAGTGCTTGTCAGAGATGGGTAGAAGGTCAGGATGGAGTAGAAAGGCCAGGCTGAGGACCACGGGAGCCTCACTGCCACACTGTTGTGTCCTTCTAGCTTTGCACAACGCGCTGCCCCAGCAGCCATCGAGGCCCAGCAACCGAGCTGCCGCCCTGCCCCCCAAGCCTGCCCGGCCCCCTGCTGTGTCGCCTGCTCTGGCCCAACCGCCCCTGCTCCCACAGCCCCCCATGGCCCAGCCACCCCTGCCACCCCCGCCTCATCCCTCCGTGCAGCAGCAGTTACAGCAGCCACCACCTCCTCCTCCACCCCCACAGCCACAGCCACAGCCACAGCACCAGCCACCCCCCCGACCTGTGCATATGCAACCCATGCAGTTCCCCACCCACATCCAGCAGCCTCCGCCACCCCCAGGCCCTCAGCCCCCTCACCCGCCCCAGGGCCAGCAGCCACCCCCACCGCAGCCCGCCAAGCCTCAGCAAGTCATCCAGCATCACCCTTCACCCCGGCACCACAAGTCGGACCCCTACTCAACCAGTAAGTGGCCCTCAGTTTCTAATCCTAACCCTAACCCGGGGAGGCTGGGACTGGATCCAGGGTTTTGTCCTTGAGCAGCCAGGCAGGTGAGCTCACGCTTCAGGCTGAGGTTGGAGAGGGGTGGCTGACATGGTGTGGGTACTCTTGTAGTGTCTCTATGAGGTATGTCTTGCTTGCAAGCTGAGATGGCTGAGAATAAGGCCCCCACTGGCCCTTCTCTTGGAACTCAGTCAAGAATGTTACAGTATATCATGATTCCTGCTAGGTGGGAAGCCTAGAACCCAGGGAGGCTCCCAGTCCACCTCTGGTTAAAGCAGGCTTCCAGGAGAAGGTGGCCAGAGGATGAGCAGCAGTTAGTTTAACAGATGGGGGTGGGGGAGGTTAAGTTCCAGGCAGATCCAGGGGCAGGTGTGGGCAGTGGGGGCTGTTTGAGAACCTGCAGGAATAGGTGCTCTGCTCTTGGTGTCATGAGGCCCATCTGGTGGAGCCAGGATCATGTCGGGGAGAATTGGGCTGAAGATCAAAGGTAGTGTGCCTCCCACCTTCCCCTGAAACCATCCCTATCTCCTGCTGCATGGCCCAGGCTGCCCTATTTTCCTCCACAGCATTGATTAGGCCGTGCCCTCTTGCCTTTCTTGGGCATTTGTTAGCTAAATGTCTGTAAACAAAGCATTCTGGTCAACCCTGGTGTGGCAATGTGGCATCGATGCCTCATGGTGTACTGACATGCAAGGGTCAGAGTTGAGGTCCCTGGACTTGGCAGTGTAGACCAATGCTGGCTTGGGGGTGCAGCATTGCTGCTCACAAATTGGACAGGCCATAATGATGTTGTGACTGCTCCTAAACCCAGCAAAAGCTGCCAGGTACCAAGTGGATAGCTGCAGTCCTGGGCCAAGACCAGCTGGCTGTCCTCCCTGGGAAAGACGGGTGTTGGTCCTGGCAGCCACGCAGCTGTGCCTCTTCCCATCCGTGAGCAAGGCCAGGCTTCCAGTAGTGGGTGGTAATAGATGATGAGATGCCTTTAGAAGAGCCAGCAGTGGGGGTGGGACAGGTCCCCTCTGGTCACCTGGTCCATCTCACCGTCAGCTCCCATGGCCAGGGAGTGATGTGGATTGGAACCCCCTAGGGCTTTGGGTCTAAGGCCAATGCATTGGAATCCTAAGGAACTCTGCAGGCATCCTTGGGTGCTGAGCCAGCTCTCAGGCCCTGCCACTGGGCCTCCCCTCTAAGTGTTGGTGGAGGAAGCCACCAGCCAGCAGGCGATTCCTACAAATCGTAGGCCTAAGAGCTTTCCCCGGTCACCTCTGTAGGTGTTCTAAAGGGAGCCTCCCCAGGCAGGAGGCTGTCACAATTGTGTGACTGTGGCTGGCTGGCTGGCAGACCTGGACAAAGGCCACCTAGCACCTAGGCTGGCAGAACCAGCCACCTGGTACTGGGAGCCAAGGCCTAGGCACAAGGCTGGTCCTTGCTATCATGTCATCTCCAAACAGATTTTCTGGCTCTAGAGAGAGGGCAGGGGAATCAGTTGTGCGTCAACTCTTGGCCCACTAAAATGGGCACTTCTGCCCAAGGGCGTCTGCTGGCAGGCAGAGGCAGGTCAGTGGCAGGGCCGTATGCAGAGCCTGGGTTAGATGGTTCAATGTGAGGAAGGACCAGGAACACAGGCACTGCAGAGCAGTGTCTTTCTTTGGTGGAGCTGGCCAAGACATGTAGGATTCAGATAGGAGGGTGTACCCTTGCTAGGGTGGATGGGAAAGTTTAGGGCAGGACTTGGTGTCTATTCCAGCTGCCCAGTCCTGAGGGGCTGGCCCACTGTGATCTAGGGCTGTTACCTCAGCAATGAAGCTAAGGTGTCAGACTTCAGTGCCTAGCTATACCTTTCCCAGAGACCAGTAGTGGGGCTTTTCGAGCTCCGGCCCTGTATAGGGTATTTGTACCCTGTGGCTGCCTAGGTCGCCCCTCCCATTGTTGGGATAAAAATCGGTGGACTGGCCCACTTCCTACAGGAACCACAAGCTCAGGACCTGTTCCCCAACTCTGCTGTGGTGCAGGCCAGTTCCAGGCTATCCTAGGCCCGAAGCAGCTGCAGGCAGGCAGGCCAGGCCACCTGGGACAGCCAGGACCCAGGCTGTCTATTCTGTGCAGTTATTGATGTGCCTTACGTTTAACCCAAGGATTGCCACAGAACTATCTGGTGATGAGAGAATCATTGATCGGCCGCCTCCGGCACACCCCACACTGGGGATTGAGCTTACAACCTGGGCATGTGCCCTGACCAGGAATCAAACTGTGACCTCATGGTTCATAGGTTGACATTCAACCACTGAGCCACACTGGCTGGGCTGGAGAGCTTTTAAAAAGTACTCAGGCCCAGTCCAAACCTGGGACCAAATGTATCAGGTTATGCACTTCTCAAACGTTCCTGATGATTCTGATACAGGTTTTAGATACTAGGACTGAGTGCATAGCTCCACAAAGCCCTGCTCCACACTGAGCTTGGGGCCTGACTGAGCAGGCCCACAGGCCCCATGTGGCGGGGCTCCTCTGGTGGGGCTCCGATTGGATTGGGGGACCAGACTTGGCCCAGGACTGGCAGCCTCCACACCAATCGGCTGACATGCTCCTTGTCCCCTTTCCTAGGTCACCTCCGTGAAGCCCCCTCCCCGCTTATGATACATTCCCCCCAGATGCAACAGTTCCAGAGCCTGACCCACCAATCGCCACCCCAGCAAAGTGTCCAGCCGAAGAAGCAGGTAAAGAGCAGGGCTGGGCCTCGGCCCCCAGGGCCAGGCACGGGCCAAAGCCAAGGCCGCCTGCCTGCCTCACCGGTCGCCATGCCTGTGCCGTCCCAGGAGCTGCGTGCAGCCTCTGTGGTCCAGTCCCAGCCCCAGCCCCTGGTGGTGGTGAAGGAGGAGAAGATCCACTCACCCATCATCCGCAGCGAGCCCTTCAGTCCCTCGCTGCGGCCGGAGCCCCCCAAGCACCCGGAGAACATCAAGGCTCCCGTCCACCTGCCCCAGCGTGAGTGTCCCGTCCACTCTCTGCCAGTGCTAAATGTGAGCTTCTTATTGGCCGGCCAGTCTGCCATGCCTGCCCCATGGGGGATCCAGGCCCACAGGCTGTTTGTGTTCCAGGGCCTGAAATGAAGCCTGTGGACGTTGGAAGGCCTGTGATCCGGCCCCCTGAACAGAATGCACCCCCAGCAGGGGCTCCCGACAAGGACAAACAGAAACAGGAGCCGAAAACACCAGTTGCCCCTAAAAAGGTAGGGTCTGTGGGCCCACAAGTGCACCTCACTCCCCACCCTCACCCCAAGGAGGTGTCCATATGGCAGCAGGGCCCCCTCACCCACCCGGTGGTCTCTCTGCCTCACAGGACCTTAAAATCAAGAACATGGGCTCCTGGGCTAGCCTGGTGCAGAAGCACCCCACCACCCCATCCTCCACAGCTAAGTCATCGAGTGACAGCTTTGAGCAGTTCCGTCGCGCTGCCCGTGAGAAAGAGGAACGGGAAAAGGCCCTGAAGGCGCAGGCTGAACATGCAGAGAAGGAGAAGGAGCGACTACGGCAGGAGCGCATGAGGTGGGCGCGGGCTCCGCGGGCGGGGGCTCCTGGGGCGCCCCAGGCCCCAGGCTGACCTGGAGCCCTGCTCTGCTCAGGAGCCGT